CCGACATCTGTAGATGTCCTCCCGCTCATTTTCCAGGCGGGCGAGTGCTGGACATCGTGCGTTGCCAGCGGATTCCTTGTTTTTCCTTCTCCTGCGCACAATGATTGCGCGAACGTTGTCAAGCAGTTCGCGCTGCTGCTTTCCAGGCAGGCCTCGTCTCGGCGGGCGTATGCGACCACGCTTAAACAGTAAAGCGTGAACGCGATCTGTTCGCATCCAAGGTCAACGGTCATGGACGATAGTGCGCAACCGAGCACAGTCAAGACGCTGTAGCCAGGAGCAGCTCTTGTTCGGAGAGGGCTCGCTACTCCTTAGATGCTGCCACGTTCCTTGTTCAGGGATCCTTGTGGCAGCAGCTAAGATATAGCCGATAGAGCCTACCGAGCACGAGCGCCTTTGTGGTACAGGCAACGATGCTTCCGATGTAGTTTCAGAGCGAGGTGCGGCAACACGTTGTCTGCCGGCACAAAAGCAGTGGCGCGAGCACCAGCGGGTTTCGGCTCGCGGTTCGACTGGTCCACAGGCTCGCTTATGAGGTCCTCACTCCTCGGCCGAAATGTTATGTTAGTGGGTTTTCCTAGGTTCGAAGAAGAACCACAAGCGGCAGACACATGAATATTCGAAGGTCCCAGCGAACCTCAGAAAGTTGGTTATTGTGTTGTTTCTTGTTCCTCCAGGGATTCCCTGGGTGCGACCCCCTATGCGTCCAAGGACGGCAGTTGAATTTCCCACGATCGGTTGTGGTGCGGACTGTCTTTGGTGACGATGTCGTTATTCTAGGCATGAGCGGCAGGTTATGCAGCCACCAACCATCAATTAAACCGGCCACCTCTCGTCGATCCATGAAAGCGAACCCACGTGAATCGGAACGTCGTATTCCAATTCCACAATGTTGCAGGTGCACGAACGGAGGGCGTTGAAAGCATCTTCCAGGTTATCGTCGGCCAAGCCCTTTCAGAAAGCACGTGCCAAATCTTGAGCCCGCAAGTTTGCACCTGTGGAATCCATGGTGGCACCATTAAGGAGTACGCCGCCTTTCCGTCCCCTTTTCGTTGCCTTCTTCCTACCCCTCATACTACCCCTTGTCCCTCTCAACCTCGTCATCCCTCTGCCTTTCCCCTCCTCCCTCTTCCTCTTCCTCCTCCCCACCACCCCCTGACCCCTGACCCTCTCCTCCCTGTCGCCTGCACCCTCCTCATCCCCTTCCCTCTCGTCATCCCTCTGCTCACCCTTCGGACCTGCCTCCTTGGAGGCAGGCCATTCGAGCATCCGACATCCCTCTCCTCACCCAGATCCTTCTTGGGGTCCCCCCTTCCCTGTCCTCCCCCTTCCCTCCCAGATCCTTCTTGGGGTCCTCCTTTCCCTGTCCTTCCCCCTCCCTCGTCCTCCCTCTCCTCACCCAGATCCTTCTTGGGGTCCCCCCTTCCCTGTCCTCCCCCGCCCCCTCCTTCCTCCTCGACCTCCCCCCTCGCCCTCCCCGCAGGTGGCCCACGACATCTGCCTGCAGAAGCTGCCCGTGCGCATGATCCTCGACCGGGCCGGGCTCGTCGGCGCGGAGCGCCGACCCCGATCCTGGGGAGGGGGGGGAGCTGTGGCGGTGAGCAGGAGGGCAAGACCGCAGATCTCCGACGAGAGGCGTGAGTTCAATCTGGGCGTGTTTCCCAAGTTCCGTGCGGCCTTTGGGGCTCGCTTCCAGGCCCCAGGATCCTCAAGCATGTATCCAGGGCGAACATGTGGCCTGGGGGCAGGGGCGAGGACCTCGAGGTCCGCGCATTGACACAGTCGGATGTCGGGGGAGGGGGGGGAGATCTTCGCTCTGCTCTACACTTTCGCCTTTGGTGACGTGCGCAGCCCCTACAAGAGGAGGGATTGGATCTGGACGTGCAAATTGCAAATCCGGGAGGGGGAGCGAGGCGGAGGGGGGTGGGAGAATGAAGGAGGAGGACGAGGATGGGGAGGGGAGGATGGATAGGGGGAGAAGGGGGATGGGAGAGGAAGCCGAGGGGGAGATTGAAGGGGAGAGCTGGGCAGGAGCGGGAGGGGGGCGGAGGAGGTGTGGGAGTTTGAGGAGGAGGAGGAGGAGGAGGAGAAGGAGGAGGAGGTGGAGGACCAGTGTAAACCCAAGAGTCATCAACGATGTTGGAATACATTCTCCCTCCAAGCTCCCTCTTCATAGGCCTCTACAGAGGTGCATTTCCACTGAGGGAACTGCCTCGTTGGAAGACAACCGTTTGAAGATCCTGAAGCCTGACACAACATTATTCTCGGGACTCCAACGCCACGGATCAACCTGACTGTTTGACGATCCAGAATCGCACCAGAACGCCGTTCTTGGGACTTCAACACCGCGAATCAAAGTGATTGTTGCACCCTCAAAATCCAGAATCCTTCGAAACACCATCTCTGGTACGTTGGCCATGGGAGGCCGTGAAACTCTTGCCATATTAAGAGGGATGTGCGAGATGAGCCACATGTTGAAAACCATCCGCCCTCCATCCGTGAAGTATTTGATTTTTGTTATGAAAAAGAATGTGCGCGGCGCTAAGGGGAGAGCCACATGTTGAAAGCCACCCGCCCTCAATCCGTGAAGCTCTTGCACATGTTTAAAACGCATGTTCGCGGCGCTAAGGCGAGAGCTACATGTTGGAAACCATCCGCCTTCAATCCGTGAATTTCTTGCAAAGTTTTAAAACGAATGTGCGCGGTGTTACGGCGAGAGCCACATGCCGAAACCACCCGCCCTGGATCCGTGAAGCCCTTGCAAATGTTTAAAACGAATGTGCGCGGTTCCAAGTCGAGAGCTACATTTTGAAAATCACCCGCCCTCATTTTGTGAAGTTGTTGCCAATGTGTAGGCTTCAGGGTCATAAGTGGTCAGGAAGTCTCAGGCGAAACGCCCCGCCCGCTCTTTACACGGGCCTCGGGGTGCGACAGGGAGGACTTATGCATAAGGACAAGGAATGGAGGAGGAGGAGGAGGAGGAGGAAGAGGAGGAAGAGGAGGAAGAACGAGTTGGAGCAGAAGGGGGAGGAGGAGGAGGAGGAGGAGGGAGAGAGGGAGGGGGAGGAGGAGGCGGACGAGGACGAGGAGGAGGAGGAGAAGAAAAGGGGGGTGAGATGGGAAGGGGGAGGAGGAAGAGGGTTGGGTGAGGGCGAGGACGCGGAGGAGGAGGAGCAGGAGGAGGAGGAGGAGGAAAGTGAAGACGGAAGGGGGATACGGGCTGGTGTAGATGGGACGGTCTCGTCAGCGGCGATGTCGCCGCAGGATGGCGCAACGCACGCGGGCTCGTTCGACCTGACGTACTTGTCCTGCCTTCCGGAGGGCGGGGCGGCGGGTCCTCCTCGCGCCGCTCCTCGTCTTCCTCCCCCCACGCGAGCGACGGCGCCTGCGCCAGCGCCGTCGGGCAGCGACGACGACGACCACGACGACAGCGACGACGACGACGACGACGACGACGACGACGACGACGACGACGGCGACGACGGCCACGACGATGATGACGACGACGACGACGACCACGACGACGACGACGACGACGACGAGGGAGATGACGACGACGACGGCGACGACGACGACGACGACGACGATTCTTGGGGTCTCTTCGGAAGTCTCTCGGGGGCCTCCTGGCCTCTGGGAAGGAATTTTGTTGCCTCTTGGGAGTCTCTTGTGGGCCTCTTTGGAGCCTCTTTGCGGCGTTTTCGGGCTTCCTGTGGACCTCTTGCCTCTTGTGGGCTTCTTGGGGCCTCTGGGGAACCTCTTGGGGCCTCCTGGAAGCCTCTTGGGGCCGAGGGCCCAGAATGCCCGTTCAGGTCCCCCGTCTGGGCACGCTCTTGGAGCCGTCTGGGTGGCATTTGGGGCCGTCATGGAGGCGTTTTGGACTGTCGGGCTGTTTTGGAGCCCTCTAGCAGGCCTCGTGGGCCGTCTTTGGGAGATCTTGGGGGCCTCTGGCGCCGTTTTGGAGCGGCGGGAAATGGAACAGGCGAGAACGCCCAAATCTTTCATAATCCATGAACAATCAATGAATTTGGCCCCTCGGGGCCCTCTCGGGGGTGCTTTTGAACGTATCTTGGGGCGTCCTGGAGGCCTCCTGGGCAGCCTGGAGGGCGTGAAGGCGTTTTGGACCGATCACTCTGCGATTGGGGACCCTCTTGGACCGTCTCGGCGGCCTCTTTGGGGCACTCTTCGCCTGCCTTGATACTTTCTGAGGCCCCAGGGCCCCCAGGGGGGAAAACGTATTTGGGTGGCGGCCCCCGGGGACCCCCCCCATGCGCGGGGAAGGGATCAAAGGAAAGGGGCTTCCCCCCGATTGTTGAAATTGCTTGACATTTTCTTAGCCGACCCTCCTTCGACTGCGGACATGTTTCGACCTTCCTTCGATCAAAGGGCAGGGGCGATTACGACCTTGCTAGATTTTTCTCTCGCTGACAAGCCTGAGGAGAAGGGGTGCAGGGAAAGGGGACGACGGAGACGACGACTGACGGATAATACGACCCTAACAGCCAAGCCCCTCACTCACGCCGACGGGGTCGGCGGATTGCTTGTCCTCATCTGTCTCTTCTTCCGCGGCGTCGGCCTCCTCGACCTCGTCCTTTTCTTCCTCGTCCCCGTGCCCCGTGTACTCCTCGTCGTCATCCTAGTGCTTCGAGTGCCTGTCTTTATGCGGTTCCTCCTCCTCCTCCTCCTCCATTTTCTACCCTCATCCCCTTTAATTATTCCTCGACCTCCTCTTCGGGCGGCACCACACACGCACACCGCAGCGCGTGCCACCAGTAGTTGCTAGCCGCGCGTGCCACCAGCACGTGTCAGCAGCACGTGTCAGCAGCACGTGCCAGTAACACGTGCCAGCAGCAGGTGCCAGTCGCGGGTGCCCCAACACGTGCCGTCAGGTGCCGTCAGCACGTGCCCCAGCACGTGCCGTCAGCACGTGCCAGCACTTGTCAACAGCGCGTGCCAGGTTAGTAACGCAAGCCCTTTTTGAAGGGCTGCTAGGCAGGGCTGGCCCCCACTTAGCACCCCCCCACACAGGCTACGAGTTGGGGTACGCCCCAAGCATTGGGTGTCCCCCATTGGCAGTTCCTCGGTTGATCCACGACTCCCCTGAGGAGCTACCAATGGCCGCCCGCTCGCAGACCTGGCAGTTGACTAGTGATCGTCTCCCCCATTGTCCTCCTATTCTCGTATCCCTCAAATCCTCCTCCCCCTCCTCCTCCTCCCCCTCATCCGCATCCTCTCAAGCCGCTTTGCCCCGAACACTTTGCCTGGGCCGAGAGCGTCCGCCTCTTCTGTGGGGTTTGAGAGGCACCAGCCGCTGTCCAATCGCATTTTTTCGGGACAGTCATAGCTGGTTGGCCGAAAGGGGCGCAATGACCACGGGCGCCAAGGGTAGGAAGGCTCAGATTCAGCAGGCACAGCCGCGCGAGTCCGCGGAGCCAGCCTCGAATCCTTAGACCATGTGCCCACAGCGTGGGAAGTGTGAGTGGAACCCTTCGCTTGCCAGTCGAGGGTGCAAGTGCCAGAAGTGCGGCGCAAAGATCACCCTTTTCGAGCTGAAGACGCCCAATTCCTCCCTTTCCAAGGGCGCCGAGGACCAGAGCAGCCTGCGCGGCGCGCTGACAACCGTCAAGACGTTGGAGGCGGCGCTCAGTGCCATGCGGAACTTTCGGTAAAGGTCCTTCTGGAGCAGCAGCTCGCGTCGATGAGCTCGACTGGGCGCCGAAGAGATGGCTGAGCAGAAGAAAATGGAGCAGGAGTTTAGGGCCGCCAAGGAGATCGCGCAGACGAAGGCCGAGCAGGCCACCCTGTGGCGCCGCAGGGCCAAGGAGTTGCAGGAGCCCGCGCTGAAGCGGCTGGCCAAGAAGCGGCGCATTGAGGGCGGCGCTCGGAGTCGCATCGCCGCGCCTGCCTCCCTGAAGAAGTGCCGAGTGCAGCGCCGGCTTCCACGCGGGATCAAGTGGAGGGCCATCGACGACCCACCCGTGCGACGGGGGAGCGACGTCGAAGGCCCGTGTGGGAGAGGCCAAAGAGAGCGGGGAGGTCGTCATGTCTCAGGGGCACCGCCATGCGCGTAGGGCCATCCCGAAGGCCTCTGCTGCGCCCGGCCGTTTTGCAGAAGGCTCAGACGCCTTCGCCAGCTTCCTAATCGCCCTGCGCATGTCTGCGTTCTCCGCCATCGCCATCGCCTCCCACGCGCGCCCGCCAGCAGGATTCGCAGGAGAAGCTCTGCAGCGTATCTTCAGGCTTGGAGCTTCCATTCAGGGTGCGCAGCTTCTGCGGTTCCTTGTCGGCGATTTCAACGCGCGAGTGAATGCGCTTAGGCGCCCGGCCGTCTGGAAGTGAATCCAAGGATTCACCGGGAGGGCTTATGTAGATGTTGGTTGCGTCGTGAGTGCATGCGGTGCGCATGTCGACTCTGCGGTCGTTGCCGAAAATTGCATTCCGCGCGTGCACGGCCCGTTCGCGATGACCGATGCGCCGTGGAGCCCGCGCTGTGGCCTCGAGGTTCGCTTGAGAGGTGTAGGTCAGCCGC